GTGCTAGTAAAACGTAGCACGAGAAGACTTCATAGTTTATAGCACTGCAATTAGTCAAAAGACAATTAGAATTGCACGTCAGTTGGGGTCTGGGATTCGTTTGTGGGGAGAATTCAGCAGGATAGGGGATCAAGTGGACACGCCTGAAGGGGCGACTTCGTTGTTGTCCTCTAAGTCAGATTCGACGCTGGATGAAATGTCCGGTAAGAATGTATGGGTAAGGGCGATCTCTTCAGTGCGACGAGAGTCGCGGTATCGCTGGATCGCAGAACTGTTCCAGTGGCCAAGAGATAAGAGCTCCTTGGCGTCGGGGTTCATGGCCTCCATAGTTTGGAGACATCCGCGACGAAGGCTGTGCGTACCAGGGGAAGAGGTCGAGACGATGCCGATGCTCTTGAAGGCCTCTTTCAAGAAATCGAGGGCCTGGCCGTAGGAGCAGGCCGGGAAGAGCGGCTCACCAGGCTGATGCTGTTCCACGTAAGGGAATAAGACATGCACTGGGCAGAACTGTGCGAAAACGTCGTGCCCGCCGCAGAAGCAAGAGCGAGACACTATGTCGCCTGCTTGATGTTGTTTTCGTTTTGCGAAGATGATCTTGACGGAGTTGTCACTTGCCCTGAAGACTGCGCTATGCACTCCGAGAGACCGAACTGATTCGGGGGTGGCAGACTGATGCTGCGCCGAGGATAAGCCCGAGCGTATTAGTGGTAGCGCTTCGTCCTGCAGTCTCAAAGTGAAGACGTACGAGAATGCCAAGAGCATTCGAAGCTGGTGCTGATGCTTCTTTTGAGCGTGGTCCAGGATGAGGAGTATGTGTGGGCCCAGAATGGCGCACGCTACTTTTCTCGTTGGTTGCGTTCTCTTCAGTCCGTTGATGAGCGTAGTTAGCTCGAGCTCTTCGAAGCACGAAAAAGAGAAGGGGCAGTGGATCAATACAGACGCCTTCTTTATCGCAGCCAGCCATGCGTTTGCAGACTCGGCCGTATTTGCCAGTCCTAAGAATCGCTTGACCTCAATGAAGACGAGAGGAAACTCCCTAATTTTTCGGGTGGTGCAATATCGTTGGTAGCCCCTAAGGGATGAGATGTAGCCCTTTCGCGAAGATGGGACTAGAGACTGGATCTGTAGCGAGTGCGCCCTATCGTCCAAGATGGAGTTCTGTTCCTCCGTAGTTGCCTCGCTTAAAAGCTTGAGGCGTTTTGCAAGGGGGAGCCCCTTCGTATCTGGGTGCGTCGCTTCCGGTTCCTCGGAAAGAAGACGGATTGCTTCATCGACTGACCAGCATAGTAGATTTTCCTCCCGCAGAGCATCTGTGGGATGAGGGGTGGAGAGAGGAGGGTGAGAAACAAGTTTCAAAACATGTAATACCGCAAGCTTAAAAGCTTCGGATTGATGGCAAAAACTGCCACCAACTAATTAGCGCGGAAAGCGCTAAGACGAT